TGTAATATATGTGAGTGAGTCAACAGAAATCAAGTAAATTAATTTTATAATAAAATTTTTCAAAACTTTAAACAATAGTAACTTAACGAGAATTTAACCAAGTTTAGTAAAAAATTTTTTTAAATTAAAACCAAAAAAAATATATTATTGAATTTGGTTGGTATTCTTTTTAAAGTTTAAAAAATTTTATAAAAAAATATTTGCTTGATTTTTATTGATTCAACTCTATATGATGATTAAGTCACTTGATATTTGGTTTTAAAAAACTTTTTCGAATATAAAACTGACTTAAAAATTGTATTTTAAAACAACACTTGCCATCCCATTACCATATAACGATAATCTAGCAATATAAAAAAAAAAAAAATGGATCATAAATCATTCATTAATTCCTTGATATTTGAGTATGTGAGCGCGTCCGATGTTGAGCGTGCTTTTCAATTAGAACTAGAAGGTTTGTTATACATAATAAAAAGTAATTTTTTATGCTTTCTCCCAAATCTGAGGAATTTATTCCTATTGTTCGTGTCGATAGGTTTTCCACCTGAAGAAGCTTTCACGTTAGAGCGATATACATATATTCAAAAGGCTGCTCCTACTTTACTCTTAGGCGCTTATCTTTCTGATTCGACCTCTTCCAATAAATTATTAATCGGATTCATCATGTCGACGCTCGCAGATGCACCAAAATTTACTAAAGAGTCAATGTCTTATCATAATCCTTTTGGAAAAACTGTTTGTATTCATACTGTCTGTGTAGATAAGCTATATCAAAGACGTGGAGTTGCTCTTTACATGTTAAAAGAATATATTAAGAGATTAAAAAATGAATCTCAAAATAAAGATGTGGATGGCAAATACGAAAGGGTTGCGTTAATAAGTCATAAACATTTAATTCCGCTTTATCAGAAAGCCGGATTTATTTTAAAGGGTGAAAGTGAGATCGTTTATGGTAGGTTTTACCTTTTTTTATTTTATTGCAACTATATACTAAAATGCATTTATTTTATTGGCAGGAAACGAACAATGGTTCGATTTTGTATTAGAGCTTTAATATTGTATTTTTATTAGCTAAATAGCCAATCAATCATGAACCAAAAATTTAGTTCGTATAACGATATTATTAATATTGGTCTCTCCAAGACATTTCCCATGAATTATATTTTAAAAGAAAAAAATAGCAAACTCGTAACTTAACAATTTTTTGGTAAATTTTTATAGATACTATATTAATAAGATAAAATTTTTTCGATATATATTCGTAAATTATAAGTACCAGTAACTACTAAATATTAAAGCTATCTATAGTAGCTTTCTATAGTGACTATGACAATATTACTAAAACTTCATATGCAATTATTCAAATATTGAATTTAGAATGTTTAGTCTAAAAAAATATATATTAGTAAAGATCGAGAAAAACCAAATATAAAAAATTTAGAAGTCCTCATGTTTATCCCTATACGTAGCATTACGAACTTAAAATCTGATCGAATGGTCAATCAAATTTTACACATATATATTTTACATATTAGCTTAACGTTTCTCAGCACCAAAATGTGATTTGCAGTTAGCGCTAGTGATCTTAATTGTTGTTCTTAAATATCAATGGGTAGGGGTGATTAAACGGTTTAAGCAGTATTTAAAAATGGTTCTCCGCATGGTAATTTGAGTATTCTTTTGTTCGCTATCGCTCGTCTTAGTAAGGCAGCACTATAAGCCCTCCCTACACACCCGTTTTTTTTTTTTCGTTAAGTGGCTCGACGGCTTAGGGTAGCGCAATGACCATTGTTGGATCCTGCAGCATTGATGCAGAGCAAGGACCAAAATCAACGAAATATCACGAAGTCGATTCTTTGAAAATCGCTATGTAAGTTGTGAAAATTCTTCATTGCAAGGTTGTTTTAATTTCGCAGTTAAGTCGGAGGAATGGTAATTAAGTTTTGCCTTGAGTTAGGGTAACGCCTTGTGTCGGAACTGTTAAGAGATGTTGAATTGAGTAATGTGACCTCCGACTCGGGTTCGAGCTAGAGCTATGAACTGCATTTTTTTCAGTATTTGGTGACACGATCAGAATAGAGGACCTATTCCCATATATAAT